CCATTTATTTTTTATATAATGAAACTTTAAAGAATTTCTCTGTTTTATTTAAGGTAAAATTATTAAATTTATTCATGGTTATTGTTTTTATTATACCTATAATGAGATATATATTGATTAATCTGATTCTTATCCCATTTATTTCCTAATACTTCTTTAACCTGATCTATTTGATCACTAGTTAGATATTCAAGACAAGTCACAAATGGTTCTAAAAGCTTTTTTTCTTTAAGTTTAGTTTCACGACGAGCTTGCCTTTGTTTCTTCTTTGGTGTTCCATCTTGATCTACCATATTTATTGAATCAGTTGGTATCTGTTGGTCTGAAATAGCTTAATTAGAATTTCCTGCATTTGATTGTGATGTTGATGCAACATTAGCTATAACTTTTTTCTTTTTTAAATTTTGATCATTAGGTTTCCATCTCGTAACTCCTAGCTTTCTTCTTCCAACTTTATTACTTTTTTGTATTGAAATGACATCTTGTAAGAAAATTGCTTCTATTCTTGAAATTTCATCAGGAAAACAATTACTAAGATATATAACACCACTTGCTGTAAGCTGATTAGAAGAGGTAGTATTCTACAAAGGATTTTGATAGCAATTATATTCATCAGAATGGCAAAATGATGACAAAAGTTCATTTACAAGATTCCACATAACTGATTTACAGGTATTCACAGCTCTTTGTCGATTGATCCACAAGGATCATTGAGATATTTTGATAATAAGATTCCTATACGATCTCATTCACTTTAAGCAGCTTTAGCTTGTAACTTTAAATTATTGACATCAATTACATTTCCAGTAATATTCTTTTTAATAAACTTAACGCAAAATATCTCTAGTACTTCATCAAAAGCAAAATAATAGCCTTTTCATTTTTCATCATCATCAATTTTAACTAGGGATATTAAACAATCCTAAATAATCCTAAAAGTTCCAATAAATTTGCCAGTTCTAGAGAAGATTTTTATTTTACTGGTATTATATTTTACTTTCTAATGATAATTTGTTAATTGAATATAAATTAAAAATATATACAGTCAGACCTCTCTAAATGCATCCCCTTAAGGACTGAGCAAAAGAGTGTATTTAGAGAGGGTGTGCATTAAGAGAAAATCTGTATTTTAACAGATTTTTATAATATATTAACTATAAATTTATTTG